ATTCAATTAGCAGACAAGTCAAGCGTGTTTCCAAGAGGCGTGTTGGAGGATGTACTAGTTCAAGTCAATCAAGTAGTATTTCCCACGGATTTCTATGTCATTGACCTTGAAGAAAAGTCTCCTTCCAAGTCATCTATGATTCTCCTTGGAAGACCCTTCATGAATACCGCTCACACGATTATTGATGTCCACAAAATGGAAGATCACCATGGAGTTTGATGGGGAGACCATTCACTTCAACATCTTTGAAGCAATGAGATATCCTAGCAACATATCTCCATTGTATCGAGTTGATGTGATTGAGCCAATCACCCAACAATTATTCGAGTTATCAAATGGGGATCTTCTGAAGATGGTGCTTAACATGAGTCTTGAAGGTGAAAGTTTGAAGAATACCTTGGATTTGTATACATTGGATTTCGAAGTTGAAGATATTGTGAAGACTTTAGAAATTACTAATTCCACAAAGAAGAATGTTTCTCAAGTTGCCTTATCTCATTCTCCAATCAAGATGCCACCTTCCATAATCCAACCACCCACACTTGAATTGAAAGTCTTACCTAGCCATTTGAAATATGCTTATTTAGGTCAAGATGAGACTCTACCGGTGATTATCTCTTCTCAATTGAAAGACTTTGAAGAAAACCAATTGATTGAAGTCTTGAAAGAGCATAAAGAGGCCATGGGGTGGACCATACCGGACATCAAAGGTATAAGTCCTAATGTATGCACTCACAAGATACTTGCAAGCCTAGGAGGGAAGCCCAAATATGATTAAACCCTCCCATGATGGAAGTTGTCAAGAAGGATATAATCAAGCTACTTGATATGGATATGATTTACCCAATTTCCGACTCTAAATGGGTTAGTCCGGTGCAAGTGGTTCCCAAGAAAACAGGAATCACGGTTGTTAAGAATAACAAAGGCGTAATGGTACCCACTCGAGTTCAAAATGGATGGAGGGTATGCATTGATTATAGAAAGTTGAATTTAAGCACACAGAAAGATCACTTCCCTCTTCCTTTCATTGACTAAATGCTCGAGCGATTGGCGGGCAAATCGCATTATTTTTGCCTTGATGGATACTCGGGTTCTCACCAAATACCCGTTGCCCTCGAAGATCAAGACAAAACGACTTTTACATGCCCCTTTGGCACATTTTCATACAAGCGGATGCCATTTGGATTATGCAATGCCCCCGCCACATTCCAAAGATGTATGGTGAGTATCTTATCCGTGTAAGTTGAAAATATAATCGAAGTGTTCATGGATGATTTCACCGTGTATGAAAATTCATTTGATGAATGCTTGGGTAACGTTAAAAATATTTTGAAAATGTGCATTGAGAAAATTTTGGTGTTAAACTTTGAAAAATGTCATTTCATTGTCAACCAAGGAATCATTTTGGGATACATCGTTTCTAAAAAGGGCATTGAAGTTGATAAATCCAAAATTGATGTCATCCAAACCCTTCCTTACCTGACATGTGTTAGAGAAGTGAGATATTTCTTGGGCCATGTGGGATTCTTTAGAAGATTTAGCAAAGATTTCTCGAAGATCACGCGACTGATGTGCCTCCTTCTTCAAAAGGATGTTGACTTTGACTTCAACGTTACATGCCAAGAAGCCTTTGACAAACTAAAAGACTTGCTTACCTCCGCCCCTATAATCCAACCTCTAAATTTGGAGCTCCCATTTGAAATCATGTGCGATCCGAGCAATTTCGCCATTGGAACGGTCTTAGGTCAAAAGGAGGGCAAAGCATCACATGTCATCTACTATGCCTCCAAAACTTTGGATAATGCTCAAGCCAACTATTCCACCACCGAGAAAGAACTTCTAGATATTGTGTTCGCATTGGAGAAATTCCGGCAATACCTTCTAGGGACAAAAGTAATTGTGTACTTTGATCATGCCGCCTTGAAATATCTCATGACCAAGAAAGATGCTAAGCCACGGTTGATTCGGTGGATTCTTCCCTTACAAGAATTCGATCTTGAGATAAAAGACAAAATTGGTGCCGAAACCTAGTTGCAGATCACTTAATTCGGTTGAATATTGGTGATTATTCTTCTCCCATCCTTGATGAATTCCCGGATGAACACCTCCTCTACATTTCAGACACTATTCCATGGTATGCGGATATTGTGAATTACTTGGTTACGAAAGAAATTCTCCACTCGTTTAGCAAGCACCAAAAGGACAAGTTAAAGAGTGACTCCAAATACTACGTATGGGACGACCCTTATCTTTGGAAACATTATTAGGGTCAACTAATACGAAGGTGTGTTCACCAAAATGAGGTCAAGTCTATCTTGAAGTTTTGCCACGAGTATGCATGCGGAGGACATTTTGGTCAAAAAAAAACCATGCAAAAGGTGCTCGAATGCAGACTCTATTGGCCAACCATTTCAAGAGATACTTATCTATTTTGCAAGATCTATGATAAATGTCAAAGAACGGGAAGCGTATCCACAAGGAATGAGATGATTCAAAGCCCTATCCTTATTTGTGAAATCTTTGATGTGTGGGGAATCAACTTCATGGGCCCCTTCCCCGTTTCTTTTGGTTATACTTATATACTCTTGGCGGTTGATTACGTTTCAAAATGGTTTGAAGCAAAGGCCACAAGGCATGATGATTCAAAAACTGTAATTGACTTCTTGAAATCCAACATTTTTGCAAGATATGGTGTACCGAGAGCTTTGGTGAGTGATAAGGGCACTCATTTTTGCAACAAAATGATGGAAGCCATGACAAAGAGATATGGTGTCACACACCGGATATCAACCGTTTATCATCCACAAACAAATGGCCAAGTATAAGTGTCAAATAGAGAAGTCAAACAAATTCTTGAAAAGACCGTCAACACTACCCGAAAAGATTGGAGCTTGAAGTTAGAAGATGCTTTGTGGGCGTATCGGACCGCCTAAAAAACTCCAATTGGTATGTCTCTATTCCGCCTTGTCTATGGAAAGTCTTCTCATTTGCCGGTGGAATTGGAACACAAGGCATATTGGGCGGTTAAAAAGTGCAATTTCAATCTTGAAGAAAGTGGAAAGCACTGAAAGATGCAACTTCAAGAAATTGAAGAGTTGAGAAACGAGTCTTATGAAAATGCAAGCATCTACAAAGATAAAACAAAAGCGTTTCATGACAAGCACATCACTCGAAAGCATTTTATTCCGGGCCAAAAAGTTCTTCTTTATCATTCACACTTAAAGTTATTCCCGGGAAAGTTGCGATCTCGATGGCACAGACCTTTTATTGTTATAAAAGTGTTTGATCATGGTGCGGTTGAAATTAAGAGTTTGGAAACAAATCAAATATTCTAAGTGAATGGACACCGTTTGAAACCATTTTATGAAGGATTTGATACGGGAGAATTCAACAATATAACAAGGGAAATCCCAAATTACAAAGGTTGATGGAAGCGAGACTATGTCTTGGCAAAGACGTTAAAGAAATGCAATGTGAATAAATAGTCTTCGCTTAAACTTTTGGGTGTTTCTAAACTTGAAGTTGGCCTAAAAATAAGCATATAGAAGTCTTCCAGTGATTTTAATGAAGTTTGAAAAAATCCAAAAATTCGACTTTTGCGCGGGTACCCGCGCAGGCTTTACGCGACCAACCCCAGCCGCGCAGGTCCCGAGTTCCAAATTGCACCAACATGGGGTGCAATCTGATTCTTGCGCGCGGCCGATCCCCACCCTCGCAAATCCTTTGCGCGGCCAAGAAGAAAATCCTGCCTTCAGTTGCGCGGCCCTTTGCCCCTTATAACTCCAACCGGAAGACAGGCCATTACCCGTTCCGACCCACCAGTTACCCGGATCCGACCCACTTCAGACCCGCTATTCGACCCATTTCTAACCCACCCTTATAACCCTTTAACCCATCGGACACCCTTCCCCCCCCCCCCCATGTGCCTCCTATCTGCAATGAACCACCATTACCCCGTTCCTTCTCCGACCGACGAAAGCCACCGCGTCTGTCTTCCGCCACCGCTAATCTCGCCGTCTGTCGCGCCACAAGCGCGGATCTCCTCCTTTCCAGTCGTCGGCAACCCGTTCTCGACCAAATCTCCTCGCCGGAAAAATGGCAAATCAACAAATCCGCCTCAGCGCTGCTTGTTTCGCCGGCGCTCTACCCCGCTCTACTCCCCACCTAATTCCGACAGACCCCCACCCATCTATTCTCCGAAAACAGCCGCCGGCCGCCATCATCCTCGACCTCGACGGAAAACCGAACAACACCCGATCTCGACACCACCTCCCATCCAATTCCAAAAATTCTTGGGGCATTCTTAACCAAACACTCCACGACACACCGATCTACTTTTAATTCGGGAAAATCTCGTCGCCGGAATCCAAGCTCCGCCGCCGGCCGCCGCCACTAAATTATACCAAAAATTTTAAAAATTTTGTTTCTTACCAGAGATTCAAAAGACTTAATTTGTGGGCCAAAATTCAAGCTTCGGGTGTGCATTTTTTGCGGATTTCTTTCGGAATTCAACACACGAAGTTGGTAATTCCTTTTAATTTATTGCATTCAATTTCTAATTTTACTAAACTTGTGCTATGCACTAGGTTAAATAGAATTCGTCTTAGCTTGCTTTGAATTGATTGTGTTGATTTGCATTGTGCCAAATTTTCAATTTGGAATATTGCCCGGTTTTAGTTATTTGATTTGATTGGATTGGTGTGAGGCGAGTGTGAGGGATAATTTTGCCCAAGTTTTTGTCTATGCTAGGTTTATTCACAGGTACAATGGCACGGGACAAGACCATTCATGCATCACATGGTTCTTCTCGTGAAGCTCAATCCTCAGGGCCATCCAAGAAAGTGTCCACCGACCATGTTGATCGTGATGAGAACCTTACCCTCACGAGTGCCCAAAGCCGAGAATTCAAATCCAATCTTCAATAGCGTGCAATCCGTGCCACAAAATTTTACCACCAAGATTCTATGGATCACCTCGGCCTTGACAACCACTTGCGACAACTATTTTTCAACATTGGTTGGCACGAGTTTCTCGATCTTTCTGCACGTACCTACAAGTAGCCTACACTCGAATTCCTCTCCACCTATGCCCGCAATGACACGACGAGGGTACTCACTTTCAAACTCCAGGGTCGGCAGCACCGACTCAAGTACAAAAAACTCAACAAGATCATGGCCACATATGGCATCCACAACTCCGACATTTGCAGTTACCAATGGACTCAATTTAAAAGCCTGCCCAAAGTAGATTTTTGGACCCAAATCACGAGCCTTTCCAAGTTCAATCCCAGTCGCCAAAAGGACCCCTTTATCATCCATCCTTGCTGGAGAATTGCCCACTGGGTCCTATCCACTTCTATCTTTGCTCGTCACGAGCGGGGACAAATCAACACCGTTGAGTTGTATTTTCTCTACTGCATGTCGAGCCGACGTTTGTCTTTACCTGATTTCGCCACCTTCTTTTTAGATAAATGTGACAGCATCAAGACGAAGACCACTGGTGACATTTGTATTGGAGGTCTCATTACCCTCATTGGGTTAGGTATGGGCCTTCAATTTCTAGAATTTGAATATGTACTAGTAGATGATCCACCTCTCTACCTTCTCGATTTCATAACTCTCATCCGAATGTAATTATTGCTACCTCATCCTACTCTTCCTAGACATTTCTCTTGACTCAACCATGTCAAGGACCCAATTTACATCTTACGTAATCCAAGTATCTCTGCCTTCACCACCGATGACCCCGAAACACGGTTCTTGCCTCAAGAGTTACCAGATGATGATGATGACATGCAGGTGGACCTTGACAATGCTGATAGCGCATTGGAGGCTGAAGACTATTATGATCTTCCGATCCGCTAGTTGCCACCACCTTATCCAGGTCAAGCCTTTGGGTCACACTCTCAGCCCTTGGGAGAACACTTCCAGCCACAACATGATTACCACTCATACCAGCAACACAATGAGCCCGACCCCGCACACGAGTTTCCTCTTGATATTTACAGCCAGCTTGCTTCCTTGTGCCTCCAGGGCAATAGGAACACCGCTGCCATCCACCGCATTGAGGAACAACAAGCACGCACCAACACTGACATGGATGACCTTTGGTATCATTTTCAGCCCGAGGGCGGTTATCCCCCTCGAGGGCCTCCTCCATCTTGATCCCAGTATGATCCTTCCATACTCTCATCCTAAGCATTAAGGACAGTGCTTAATTTTAAGCTTGGGGTGAGGTATTCTTATATTTTATTTTTATTACATTTAGGTTGTATATAGTTGCATTTAGAGTCATTTAGGTCATTCATAAAAATATTGCATGAAAAATTCAAAAATTTTGCATATTTTGTTTCCTTCTTTTCTAATTTTCATATTTTTTTTAGATGCATCCTAGTTTAAGTTCATGCATTGTTGTTCTCTCTTGTTTTCTCATCCCTACAGGTACCAAAGCACCGAGTCATAAGTATTGAATCATAGATTGGTCCCGGGTCTTGATATGGAATTCCTTGTATTTGATAAATGGGACACGTTTTGAGCCTCACAGACCACTTTGAGACCGCTTGTGTGGGGGTCAAATGCAGGGAGCTTGATTGGGTCTAGGTGCGGAGGGATGTGGTTGGTCATGCCAATGTGTGCGAGCAAAGACTAGCCCGGTAAGGTATTTTGAAGACATTGAAGATATTGAAGACTCGCATCTTGGTTTCGGAGGGAGTACCCTTTAGTACTTGCGAGTCTCATCCGAGCCTTGCTTAGTTAGACTCTCACCACCTTTTTAGGATAGGTTATCATTTTTCTAAGGGTCTAAAGTAGATAGTCAGATAGATTTTGTTTATCACACCTTGCATTGAGGTGCTTGATGAACTCTGAAGTGGGTTCCCCAATTCACATCTTTTGGGACCAAGTCTTTTCGGTAACACCCATTTTTGAGTCATATCCCACCCATTTTTAGTTGATCTTGGCGCATTGTCAATGATCATTAGGTGTTCATGTTAGCCTCTATCTATCACTAAATCTTCACTATTGGAGTCCTATGTTACTTGGTGAAATTCCTTAGACCTTCCAAGAAGAAAACACAAAAAATGAAGAAATTTGAAAAAGCGAAGACAATAAGAGCCTATAAAAGATGATTCAAGAAAAGCAATAAAAGCAAAGAATAAAAATGAAGAAAAAGAGCAACACAAAAAGAAGAAGAAGATTCCAAGTTCAAGACTCATGTTATAAATATGATTCCAAAAAAAAATAAAAAAAATAAAAAAAAATCTGAATGTCAAGCAGCAAATGTGATTGAAGACCCAATAACATAAGTTCAAGATTAAAGATTTAGGTTGTTAGGTTTAGAATTAGGTTAAGTATAATTTTATTTTATTTTATTTTTGATTTTTGGTGAGAAAAGGCCCCGACGATGAGACGGTAGACTGTAAAGGATAGTATAAGGGAGAAACCTCTGAAACCGGATGTTTTCCCGGAGGCCGTGCTGCAAAACCTTATTTCGTATTATACACTTTAGCCTGACAAATGTAGGAATCATAGTGTGTGAAGCGGTGCCTTTCCTTCGTGCACTATGGTCTACATTGGTGATTTAAAGTGCCCCCACTGGGCGCCTCTCTGTTTCCTTTGTCTTGCACACCGCAACCGCATCCAGCCGTGATCTACTCGCCCATCAAGTGGTTAAGAATGTGGTTTATGGCTCTAAAGCGAGGAACATTTTGAAGATGCGTAGGGTCCATTGAAGGACTAATTCTGACCATGTTGACTGATGTTGACCAAGTTCTATGGTATCTTTCTTTTTCCTTTTTAGATAGTTCATCCCGAGCTCATTTTTAGTCTTGTTCTAACTTGAGGACAAGTTAGGTTTAAGCTTGGGGTGATTTGATAGCTATTTTATTTCCTTATTTTTATTAGTTTATTTTAGTTTTTTTTAGATCTTTTTATCATTAATGCATTGTATTTTATTTATTTTTCTTTAGTATGGATCATTCCGAGTGCTTGTTATGTTGCATGAGATATTTTGTAGGTTTTTCGGTGCTTGTTGCGGTTGCGGGTTGATTGGAAACGGGCTTAGTGGGCTTCCGAGGCATTATTGGGCTTGGCAGAATCAAAGAGGAAGAATTGGGCTTTAGAAGTTGATGCCTTGGATTATTTGGGCTTGTGAAGATGGATCATAAATTTCTAATTTTGGGCTTGGAGCATCCATTTGGTGGCTAAATGATGATTGGTGGATTTAAATTACCTGGCCAAGGGGGGGGGGGGACCAAAGGAATCTTTGGTAGTGGAAGGATGGAGTGGTGGAATGAAGGACCAATAGCATTACATCAACATTTTCACGTGTGAAATTTTCGTTGCGCGAGTACCCGCGCAACTGCCCAGTTTGGGCATTTTACTCATTTGGCACACTATAACTTTGGGGGATCAGATCTAGAGGCTCATTCACGATTTTTCACCATTGGAGACCTGCAAGAGGCGATTTTGGGAGCTAGAATCCATTTCCTTTCATCTTTTCAAAACTTAGGTAGTTTCTTTATGCAATTAGATTATTGTTCTTGTTACTTTGTTGCCATGAGTGGCTAATACTCTTATTTGGTTGACTATGGCTGAAAACCAATGAATGTTTGTGGGTTTTGAAGGATTTATGTTGATTATCAATTTATTCCATGTTTATGATTCTAGTTTACAATTCTTATGCTTATTTGATGCTTTGATCATGAGCTTAGTATTTGATTGAGCAATGGTTGATTTGTTTCATTGATTTTGCATTGGATCATTGAATTTATCTAGAACAAAGGATTTATGATGGTAGAAATCATCTCTAGTTTATGAATCGTAGCTCCTTTATGGATGTGTAAGCATTTGACATCCTCTAGGAATTGGGGATTCCTTCATTCTTAAGGCTAATTGATTTCTTGGAATTAATTGCTTCAATTGACCCTTGATATTAATTAATAAGGTGTGTTGTGGGCTTCCCCAACCTCCATACTACCTATGAGGAATCTTGGCATATCATGCTTCATGATTGCTATAACCAATTTGGAATGAAGGATAAGCTTTGTATTAGATCCTAATGATAAACACACAAATGTTCATTGTGTTGAATTGCCTTAGTTAACCAATTATTCCCAACCTTTGAGCATCTCATCAACTTGCTTAATTGCAAGGTTTTTAGTTATTCAAGTATTTTAGTTTTCAAGTAATCAAACACCCCCTTTTAGTTTAATTGTAGTTAGTTAGTTTAATTTTACTAGTTCTATTGAATTGCATTGGTGATTGAATACAACCATTTCCCCAAGGATCGATACCCCTTTTTACCATTATATTACGTTTATTTAGCAATCAAAGGGTGTAATTTGCTTGGTGGGATTGACATCCCACCGGTGTTGAAGTTCGAAAATAATTGGCACATCACGGACTGACACTAACCCTGGGAGGCCATTTTATAAATTATTAAACAAGGTAAAATGTAGTGTTCTATTTGAAACCCTGGTTTCACAATTATTTTCTAAATGTAACCTGACTTTCATAATCAGGAAGCTCGGTCAGGTTTCATTGCTTAGGCTGATAAAGTAAACTGCAATAGTAAAGGGATGATTATAAGTATACTGATGAGGTCTAAGAAGAATCTAGAATCAGAAGTCTTGAAGTTGAAGTTGGTCTTACTTTGTAGTTGGGTTTTTTTGGTTTAATCATCTATAAGTTGTAATCAAACGTATTTGGGTTGATGAAGTAAGAACAATTTGTAGTTGAATTTGGATTTTAAGTATAGACTTGTATTACTACCCTTAATGTGATGTTGTTATGTCATTACCCTTAATGTGGTTAAATTATGCTACACTTTGTCATTTTATATGTCATCACCCTTACTGGCATTACCCTTCATATTTGAATTACTTATAATACATTGCTATATAGAATATTCAAATTGTTAACAATTAGTGTACATGTTTTTACTGAAAATACAAGGACCATATGTTCCTTTAAAGCACTAGGACCACACGTTACCTTAAATGATTGAATTACATGCATCATATACGTTCACAACATATTTTATTAAATATCCAAACCATGAGATATATTATTAAACATCCAAATCATGAAAATAGTTTCTCAAACATACAAACTAACTTCAACCAACCAAACTATTGTCAAACCAAACTATTACAAGCCAAAGCTAACAAGTACATGAAATTAGAAATCCAAACATAACAGGACACCATCAAAGACTTCATAGGCATTAAGGTCTAGTGGGTTTGCACTAGTTTTTCCTTTCCCATCCTTTCCCTTAACCTTCTTTGAAAGTTTCATCTTGATGATTCTCTCTAATTTTT